CCTGATGACACTAATGGCATATACGGTGGTCACAGAGGATGATGAGGATGAAGTCAGGGATAAATGGGCCCCCAGGGTGAAGGCTATTCAGGCCAAGATGGATGAGGCACTGGCCCAGTGTGAGGGGAACTGATCCTCATCCACTCCCAGGGTTGGGTGGGCATATGAGGGCTTTAAAGGGATACTTCTGGATTTTGGCAATTTATCTACTTCACCAGAGTCAGATGAACTTGTGGGTACAATTTTAATGTCTCTGTGTCCAGTATGAAGGAAGTTAGAGGTAGTTTTGTGAGTCAATGCTAACTAGCATTAGCGCAATGACTGGAAGTCTGAGTATCTGCAAGTCATCTGACTCTGGGGAAGTAGATAAAGGGCCTCATTGCCAAAATCCAGAAGTATCCCTTTAAGGTTAAAAGCTGTTTGGAGACTAAACTAGTCCTCTTCCCTCAATTTAAAAAGAAAAGTAATTTACCTTTTGGGTGGTGGGCAATCTTCTTTGTCAATGAATGCAATTGATTAAATATAGATTTTATAGTATTTTGCTATGAGCAGTGTTGCACTTCAGCCCTCATGTTTTCTATTTCCCACTGCCAACGCTGTCATGTTTACTTTGAGAAATGAGTCTGAATGCGTGTTTTATGATAACCTTGTATATCGTTGTTTTTTAAGTGTACTTTTACTTCTTGTCTTTTCTAAATAAATGCTGTTTTGCACTTGTTATTAATTGTTATTCATTTTTATGCTCTTAGATGGAATTATGTAAGAAGACCAATGGTGTTAAAATATAGTCTACTTTATTAGGTTCAAAACATATACACAGAGAATGTTGACTTTGTATAACTCAAAGCGTACACCATACAGTGTCAACTATAAGAGTTAAAAATGTACTCTGATGGAGTTGATTTTCAACAGTGTTGGCCAGTGTTCATTTCCAACTATTTACAGAGTTACAGAAACTCTGTGAAAGTGTTAGGTAAAAAGCTAACACTTTCAAAAGTGTAACATTAACTCTGTGCAGTGTGGGACAATATATATACTTTTTTAGTGTTAAATGTAACACTATTAGAGTTTAAAACTTGCCCTTTTTTTATTTTAAAGAACTTGTCAATAGATTGCTCTACTCTCTCTTTCTCTTTCTCTTAGGCTCCTTTCTCTATCAGAAGCTACCATCCTCCCCAACCCTTTCAAGCACTACCTGGTTTTGACTTCTGTGTCGTGACCCCCTGCGTGCCATCATGTCGGAGATGGAGATTGTGGAAGACCGGGCCAAGCTGAAACAGGGCCTGGTGAAGGTGCTGCAGTGTGTTGCCACCATCTCTTCTGCTGCGGCTGTGGTCAACCCGATCTTCGGCGTGGCCGGCTCTCTAATCCGAGTGGTGCTGCACCACGTGGACGATGAGGACATCCAGACGCTGAAGCGCGAGTTTGGCTCTGTCAACCGTGCCCTGGACAAGCTGTCCCAGCAGAACCACAGCGCCCTGCTACAGATCAAGAAGGAGACGCTGGACGGCCAGTACTGCCGTGTGGAGGAGAACCTGCGCAATCAGTTCCGCAAGTTCATGGAGATGGTGGAGGCGCGGCCCGTGCACTGCGAGCGCAAGAAGGAGGACTTTGAGGAGAGCTACTCCAACGACCTGGGAGACCAGAACCTGCACACACTCTACGAGGGCGTGGTGGGCAAGCCCAAGCTGTTCAGCCGGCCCATCCTGGAGGTGTACCTGAAGCACTCGCAGGGCGACCGCCGCACCATGGAGAACCTGTGCACGCGCCTCACATACCTCTTCTGCATCGGCCTGATTGCCCTCATGGGTTATGCCGCCGTCATCGGAGACGACGAGGAGGGTATCAGCGACGAGTGGGCCGAGAAGATGGAGCACGTGCAGGAGAGGATGCAAGAGGCCCTCCAGAAGTGCAAGTGAAGAGGAGAAGGAGGTGTAGAGGCTGCTCCTCTGCTACTTGTCCTCCATACGTAGGACTTTCTCCACATTCCCTCTATGACCTAGGATCCCCCATCCTTCCTTCCATCACTTATCTCCTTACTCCAGGACAGCTGTGTATACAACTTCTTTGTGTTTATTCAACCAGTTAATTGACTCTGAATGAAGATCACAGGAGGTTGGTGGCACCTTAACTGGGGAGAACGGGCTCATGGTAATAACTGGAGCGGAATTAGAGGAATGGTATCAAATACATCAATCACATAGTTTCCAGGTGTTTGATGCCATTCCATATGCTCCGTTCCGGCCATTATTATGAGCCTCAGCAGCCTCCTGTGATGTGGATTAATTTTTCTTTACTGTTGGTATCTATGAGTTAGAGGTAAGTAGATTGAATGAAAACAGTTAGTGATTTGCCTCATTCACAGCAGTAGTCAATTAACAGACCTATATAATATATACGTGAATGTTGATATGGAAACCTGCATACACAGTGGTCTGACGATCAACCTTTGGACTGGCTCTCAATTAAATGTAACTATGCCATTCCTGTCTTCTAAAGAGTAAGAGAGAGTGGTTTTAATGTCTGACAATATTCAGCACTTAAAAAAATATTTTGCCTTGCCTAGAAATTCGCTGGTGAATTAGAGGGAGACAGAGAGAACAGGCTCATTCTGTTGCATGAATGTAAGATTCACCATAATGGGTATCTATTTGAACATATATATATATACTCCATGCAAGTCCAATAGTGCCACTGATGCAACCTAGCACTTTCAGTAAAAAACATTATCTATACTGTGGCCACTATTAACAGAACAGGCCAATTACAGTTGAAGTCGGAAGTTTACATACACCTTAGCCAAATACATTTAAACTAAATTTTTCACAATTCCTGACATTTAATCCTAGTACAAATTCACTGTCTTAGGTCAGTTAGGATCACCACTTTATTTTAAGAATGTGAAATGTCAAAATAATAGTAGAGAGAATTATTTATTTCAGCTTTTATTTATTTCATCACATTCCCTGTGGGTCAGAAGTTTACATACACTCAATTGGTATTTGGTAGCATTACCTTTAAATTGTTTAACTTGGGTCAAACCTTTCGGGTAGCCTTCCACAAGCTTCCCACAATAAGTTGGGTGAATTTTGGCCCATTCCTCCTGACAGAGCTGGTGTAACTGAGTCAGGTTTGTAGGCCTCCTTGCTCGCACGCTTTTTCAGTTCTGCCCACAAATGTTCTATAGGATTGAGGTCAGGGCTTTGTGATAGCCACTCCAATACCTTGACTTTGTTGTCTTTAAGCCATTTTGCCACAACTTTGGAAGTATGCTTGGGGTCATTGTCCATTTGGAAGACCCATTTGTGACCAAGCTTTAACTTACATTTACATTTTAGTCATTTAGCAGGGTTATTGGCACAATGCTCTTAACCACTAAGCTACCTGACTGATGTCTTGAGATGTTGCTTCATTATATCCACATAATTTTCCTTCCTCATGATGCCATCTATTTTGTGAAGTGCACCAGTCCCTCCTGCAGCAAAGCACCCCCACAGCCTGATGCTGCCAACCCTGTGCTTCACAGTTGGGATGGTTTTCTTCGGCTTGCAAGCAACCCCCTTTTTCCTCCAAACATACCGATGGTCATTATGGCCAAACAGTTCTATTTTTGTTTCATTAGACCAGAGGACATTTCTCCAAAAAGTACGATCTTTGTCCCCATGTACAGTTGCAAACCGTAGTCTGGCTTTTTTATGGCGGTTTTGGAGCAGTGGCTTCTTCCTTGCTGAGCGGCCTTTCAGGTTATGTCGATATAGGACTCGTTTTACTGTGGATATAGATTATTTTTTACCTGTTTCCTCCAGCATCTTCACAAGGTCCTTTGCTGTTGTTCTGGGATTGATTTGCACTTTTCGCACCAAAGTACATTAATCTCTAGGAGACAGAACGCGTCTCCTTCCTGAGCGGTATGACAGCTGCGTCGTCCCATGGTGTTTATACTTGTGTACTATTGTTTGTACAGATGAACGTGGTACCTTCAGGCATTTGGAAATTGCTCCCAAGGATGAACCAGACTTGTGGAGGTCCACCATTTTTTTTCTGAGGTCTTGGCTGATTTCTTTTGGTTGTCCCATGATGTCAAGCAAAGAGGCACTGAGTTTGAAGATAGGCCTTGAATTACATCCACAGGTACACCTCCAATTGACTCAAATGATGTACATTAGCCTATCAGAAGCTTCTAAAGCCATGACATCATTTTCTGAAATTTTCCAAGCTGTTTAAAGGCACAGTCAACTTAGTGTATGTAAACTTCTGACCCACTGGAATTTTGATACAGTGAATTATAAATGAAATAATCTGTCTGTAAAGAATTTTTGGAAGAATTACTTGTGTCATGCACAAAGTAGATGTCCTAACCGTCTTGCCAAAACTATAGTTTGTTAATAAGAAATGTGTGGAATGGTTGAAAAACAAGTTTTAATGACTCCAACCTAAGTGTATGTAAACTTCCGACTTCAACTGTAAATACAAAAGAAAACTTACTTTACAGTGGGTTAATTAGAAGGGTATTACTTTACTTATTACCTTAGGTAATTTGTAACTATATATCTGCACCTAAATTAACTATTATTTACCATTTAAGTGGAAATAGCTTTAAAGAAGTATTGATAAATAATGCACTGTAAAATCGAATTTAACCCAAATCTAACTGAAAACAAATATCCAAAGTTATCTAAGAATGGATGTATGACGGGGATTCTATAGTTAATGCCACACACACACAACACTAGCATGATGTTGCTTCCATAATTATTCCACAAAAACACTAGACTGTCTGTCAAAGCGCTTTGGCCCGGATAATGAAGTCAGTGGAATGATAATCATACTGTAACTAACACTAAACACTTGTAGCCTGTTCAATTTAATACCAAAACAGGGCTACTATACTGCCAAAAACACTACTCTTTCCGTTTCAACCATATTGTATGGTGTTTCCATTTGTTTTCATGAACACACTACATTATGGTGGGTGTGATGTAAGCCAACCAAGTGCAGTGACAACACTAAACTATACATGACAACTCATTACACTAACCACACAACAAAACAAAAGGTCAAAGTATACATGTATACATTAGCTTTAAGTGCTTCCTCTCTTATGTATTCTCTTGTATCTCAGATAAATTAATGTTTGTTTTTACTAAGGGTGCGTTCGTAAATTCACTCTGGCCATCTACTCTGATTTCAGAGCATTCTTGTCTGAGTGTCAGAGCACAGAATAACTGATTCATTTACGAACGCGCAACACCCGTTGAATATGACCGGTGTCAGTAAACGTCTCCAAAAAAAACCATAATTAAATTGTTGCCAGCAGCACAGTTATAGTCACCAACGCTCTAGACAACATGAAAACAGCCTAACTAGCTCTGCTAGGGCAAGTAAAATGGTCAGAGTGAGGTGTTCTCTCACTCTGACCACTTCCAGTTTGTGTCTGGAAGTAGCTAGCCAACTTTAGCCAGTTAGCTTGGGTGCTTGTCTGCCGTTGTGAGGTCAGAACGCTCAGATTAACCCTATTCCTCGGCCAGAGCGAAATGCTCTGAATTTACAAACGGAGAATCTGACAACGCTCTGAATATACGAAGGCCCAGAGCGCACTCTGGCACTCCAGAGTGAATTTACGAACACACCCTAAGTAATTTGATTTCTGGGGAATTGTCTTTGCTCTGTGCCCCTCTTTCTTTTCACTTAATGTATTATATTATTTTCATATTTTGAAGCAATTTACACCAAAAGTGAGGTAAAAGATAATAAATGACTAAAATATATTATGGGATGTTTTGGGGATTTTATATATCTTAATTTTCCATAGTAGTTTTTATTTTGATCAGTATCCTCTCATAACTGACCAACAGTGTCTCCTCTTACACTGTGGTCCACGTTCCGTGTCCCCTTACTATGTCTTTGCCTAAGAAAGGGTTCACAAAGTTATGTTCTCTACTTCATTTGTTCTTGTGCTCTAAAGCACTGCAGTTTGTTTTGATCTCTTCTGTGCTATTAACCCCATTACTCAGATTTCCAGTGTTATTGATGCCATTTCTATGCTCACCGATCCAAGAGAGCTCTCTGATTCATAACCCTATATTCAATGGAATGGCTATTCTGTGGTACCAGTCCCTGTCTCTCATATTGTTACATCCGAGATGTATGGCTGTTAAATAGTTATAATTCTGCACTGTTAAAATGAATAGATGGAAATATATTTACCTCTTTAGGGCTTTCTGAAAATATGTGCTCCTCATCTAAACGTCATAGCCTTTTTATTGTTATGTTGTTCTTTGTTGCCTGGATGTGCTATGCAGCACTATCAATAAAGATTGAACATTAAATATCACTTTTATTTGGTTGATTTTGTACATTAAAATATATTGAGGCATTCACAATAGTATCATCATTTGAACTTGGTTTATCTCAAAATGATGAGGGGCAATACATACAGTCAGGTCCATAATTATTGGCACACTTGATAAAAAAAGACTATACAATAAATAATGCAATTCGGAAAAGGCTCAGTGTAGTTATCCTCGCAATGGGAGGGTGCTAGAGTATTGAAAACAGGGGTGCCAATAATTTTTTACCCTATCTTTTGAGACTTGTTAAACAAAATCTATTTTTCTGAGAAATTGTATTAGTATAAAATAACAATAATTTACACCATTTTTTGAGCATGCAACAGAAAGTTTTTCACGTTTCACATTTTGCTGCCTGAAAATTACATCAAAAAAGGGATTAAATTTGATTTTTTCCCCTACAGATCTACACAACCTACTCCACATTTTCAAAGTGAAAGAAGGTTATAGAAATGTTTCTAAACGAATACAAACTAAACAGAAATATCATAATTGGATAAGTCTCCACCCCCTTGAATTAATACTTGGTGGAAGTCCTTTGGCAGCCATTACAGCTGTGAATCATTTGG